GCATCCCTGCAGCAGTTCAGGGCTGTGCCAGTGCAGGGCTGCCATGGCATGGCCTGCCTGGTATGAAAGGGGCGAAGCTGTAACTGGGGAACCCTCTGAAAGAGCCTCACGTACTTGCAATTTGTTCCCAGACCCTTTTTTCCCCCACCCCTGACCTTCCTGGCAGTCCCAGAGGCTGTGAGGCAGGGAAGTCATTTATAGCCTCGTGATGTCCATGGTGGGAGCAGAGGCAGGCTCGGGATCAGGCCCTGCTCTCCCTGTGGCCAAGGATATGCCCATATTTCTGTGGTGAGTCTGCAGTGGCAGTGGCAGCTCATCTCCACATTCACCTTCCCCAGAAGCAGGACCCTCCTCCAGACACGCTCCCAAAGCCTCTCTCCTTCATCACTGGGATCCAGGGGCTCCTGACAGGGACCAGCCCACCCCAGCACCAGCAGCAGCACCACAGAGCCTCCCACCCCCAAACCCCAATCCAGACTTGCTGCTCGCTCTGATTTAACAGGCTCTCAGTAAGTATTTCCACAAATTTTTAAATACAGGCATTTATCTTTTATCTTATTATTTTATAATTAGAGCAAAGATCCTCAAACCAAATAAGTGAACCAACTAAAGTGTCTGAGATCAAGAACTTGCCAAAGCAGAGCAGCACCTTTTCCGTTTGGTTGTGGTCCAGGCACTTTATGGCAGGTACTTTTTACCTGGCTGATGTTCAACTGACAGTTTTCCAAGCACATAAAAAACTTATTAGGCTGAAAATAGAGTCTGTGACCATAAACTGTCAGGAGCACTGTCAGCATTTCCAGCCCATGTCTGCTTTGTGTACAGCCACTGGGAGATCAGGCTGCTGGGGGAGCAGGATGGAGAGGATGGGGCTGTGCAGCCCTTTACAGGACCCATTTTGGGTAGGAAGGGTATTTTGGAAAGGCTTACTAATGAGCTGTGGGGTATCAGGAGGCAGCATGGCTGGCACTGGGCAAGGTGGTTGAAGACAGTCATATGTGGAGCTGTGTCCACCTGTCCTGGGTTTGAAACCTGGAAGCCGCATCCCTGGAGACCACGTGGAGGTGATCTGCACTTGCAACCAGTTTATATCCAACACTTCATTAACTCCATTGCTGAGCTTCCAGATCACAGTGCAGAGCAAAGTGCCTGCAGCCATCTGAGCTCCAAAGACCCCGGGAGGGAGGCAGTGGGAATTCTGAGAGCAGGGAGAAAGCATGAGATTACTGAGCCTGCAGTAACCCTGAGCATGGCCAGAGGACACAGACAAGGCAGCTCTGCTGAGCAGGAGGATAATTTACAGGATGATTTATGGAGTCATGGGGCAGAAGTAAACACAGCTATGTCCAGCCTGGGCCCCATCAGGGACTCCGTGCCCAGCTCATGGTGCTGCCTGGCTGGGGTCAGCCCAGCAGTGCCTGCAGCCTGTTGTGGTGTAAGGAAACACCATCTGGGCAGCTGCAGCTGGCTGTCATTCACACGTTGATAACTAATACTTTTCAGAAATTAAGTAATCCATTGCTTTAAAAATACCCCGTGGCATCACCAGGCTATCTATAACCTCGGTATTAAATGGCATTAAACCCAGAACAGCTGATGCTTTTACTAAGGCAAACAAAAGCATCAATTTGGTGTTTAAAAATAACCAAAAGAAGCAGAGAACACCAGGATGGTCCCCAAGCCCCCAGAGAGCTGGAGCACCTTGTGGCCAAAACCAAGGAGGGGGCTGATGCCTGATGGGACGTGGGACTGACTCAGACAGACCCACACCACTGGGTCTCTGGTTAGTGCCTTTCATTTGAGACTGCTAAGCAGCTTTGCTTATTTCAATCCATTAGAACTAGAAAAGCTTTTTAATAAACTCCCTGCCAGCCTGGAATTAGTAGATGTGGGCCAATTAGACACATTAATTAGGCACTGGTTTAAACACAGATGAAGTTTGACTTTGTTTACCAACCTCAGAGGAAGCAGCTGATCAGAGTTCACCTCCAGAGGACTGAAAAAAAGGCAACTTTACTCCCAGTCACAAGCACCTCACAACAGAAACACAGCGCTTCGACTTCGGTTTTATTTTCAGAGCTCCCGCTTTCTCTCTGCCTCCCCATGCAATAAAAACGAGACATTTAATCTCATAATGCAACTTCTCACTGAAAATCAATGATAAAGTACATTATCTTGCCTGTCCTGAGCCTGTGGCTCCGGCTTGACCTCCCTCGAGTGCAGCGAAGTCGGGGGGAAGACAAAGGTTGAACTGGAGGGTTTGGCAGTGGGAAAGTGGGAAACTTTCCTGTGCCTCAGGAGGGGCAGGACAGGCTGGCCCTGCACAACAGCCATCTATCATGGCAGACATGGGTTTGGAAACAAACTGTGGAGGATTTAGTTAGTCCATGAGCAGCTAAGATTGATGCTGCTGCTAAAGGAAACTGGGCAAGGGCCTTGTGCCTGTTGTCACTCATGGGTAGAGAGCATCTCCCAGGGTTTTCCACACTGGAACCTACAATGGCCCAACAGAGCAGATGGCTTTGAATAACAGGCTACAGCATCAGTTTAACACTCCAAATATTACCTGGGGACTGCAGAATTTGACCTGTGAGGCACTGGAGGCACTAGAGGCTCCAGAACTCCTCCTAAAAGATGCGTGACAGGCGCCCAGCAATGCAGTCACCTTAAAAATTCCTTCCTCCAGAACCAACAGGAGCTCAATTAGCAGCCCTGGGCCCATCTCCAAGGTGGGATGTCATTGCTGACCAGTGGAAAAAATTCCCAGCAGCAGGTGAAGCGTATCCACTCGAGCAGGCAGCCCCCCCACGTCTCTGGGTCGGGATGTCTGACGGCATCCCAGGCCCCGTTAGCAGGGCTGCAAACACACCACAGGGAACACAAACCAGACACATTCCTCCAGCACAGGCTGTGCCACATGATTTAGGGGGCTGTGAGCGCTGCGATGTGAGCAGCAAACCGACAGCTCGTGCTGCTGCTGCTGGATGGATGGATGGGGGAGTCTATTTTTTCTCCAATAACAACTTTCACTAATGGTGCTGGCACAGAGGCTCAGCCAGGAGGAGGGAAGTGGCAAGTGTCCAGGGTGAAAAAGAGTTCACAATTACAGTAGGAAAGGCCACTGTGTCCCTTGTACTGGCCATGGAAACGCTGAGGACAGGGCTGGAAGGGGCTCTGGGAGGGCATTGAGTCATCCCCTGCTTCAGGAGAGCATCTGCTGTACCCAGAGCATTTTCAGCAGGTACCCAGACATCTGCTTATCTTATTTTTAAACTCCTCCAGTGACAGAGTGCCACAATCTCCCCCAGCAGTCTGTTCCAGTGTTTCACTGCCCTCATGGTTAAAAAATTTTTCTTATGTCCAATGCAAACCTCCATTGTTGCAAAGAAAGACCAAAGCATCTTGTCCTCTCCAGAGAGAGAAGCAAGATGGATGAAGAGGGATGTAAGCCTCATTGTTTTATTTCCAGCCAAAAGAGAGTTTATTTCTTGAACAAGATACTATCTCCTGCAACACACAACTCAGAAGTATCTTTCTATTTTTAAAAGTGAAGTATAAGAGTTACATAAAAGCTGTGGAAACCAGGAATGAGAAACAGGGTCTTCACTTTGTGGGCTCTGCCTCCTACCCCAGCTAATTTCCCCACTCCTTGGAGCTGACCTGGGCTGTCCACAGCCCATCAGTGTGAGGAGGCTGCACTCACTGCCCTCCTTACCAGCACAGGGCTGACAGGCCCCACGCCCCTGTCAAAGAAAGCAGCAGAAACCATGAACCTGGTTATTTTGTTCCTTTCTGCCCTCTTAAGACAGCACTGGACACAAGAAGGCAGACTGTCTGCTCTGGTGACCGGCTGTGAAAAGCAGAGATGAGGCAGATAATGCAGGCAGAGAACACAAAATAGATAACTCAGATAGATAACACAGACAACACAGATAGACAACACTGATAACACAGACAGATAATACTGGTGACAGATAACATGGGTAACACAGGCAACACAGACAATATGGGTGACACAGATAGATAACGGGGGTAACACAGCAAACACTGTTCCTCAGTGCCCTGGGCGTGAAGCAGCACTCCCTGCCCACAGCTGGGCAGAGCAGCAGGAGCGAGGGCTGCCTGCACTGGATGGCACCACAGGGTACTTCGGGACAGCCACACAGCCCTAAAGGCCCTTTCTGCCAGGAGGGCAGGTGCTGGCAGGAGAACCTCCTCCAGCCTGGGCGCTCACAGCCAGGGGCAGCTTTGGGGGCAACGGGGCTGTCACCAGCGCCACCGGCACGGGACGAACCGCGGCCTCGCCAGGGCTCACCTGCAGCCGGGGGCCGCCAGCTCTGCCCAGGGTGCCAGGTACGGGGGGCTTGGGACACGGCGGAGCCAGCCTTGGTGTGAGTGCGAGCCGGTGACCGAAGCAGCTGCTGCCTACGGAGCCGGTGCGGGCAGCGCTCAGGAGGCGGTGCCCGGGGCACTCCGGAGGCGCTGCGCGGTGCCCGCGGTCGGTGCGGGGGAGCCGTGTGCGGTGTGCGGTGTGCGGTGTGCAGTGTGCGGGGGACAGTGTGCTGTGTGCTGTGTGCGGTGAGCGGTGTGCTGTGTGCTGTGTGCGGTGAGCGGTGTGCTGTGTGCTGTGTGCTGTGTGCGGGGGACAGTGTGCGGTGTGCTGTGTGCGGTGTGCGGTGTGCTGTGTGCGGTGCCCGGTGTGCTGTGTGCTGTGTGCGGTGTGCTGTGTGCGGTGCCCGGTGTGCTGTGTGCTGTGTGCTGTGTGCTGTGTGCGGGGGACAGTGTGCGGTGTGCTGTGTGCTGTGTGCTGTGTGCTGTGTGCGGGGGACAGTGTGCGGTGTGCTGTGTGCGGGGGACAGTGTGCGGTGTGCTGTGTGCGGTGTGCGGTGCCCGGTGTGCGGTGTGCGGTGCGCGGGGGGCGGTCGCGGGGGTGCGGGGGGGCGGTCGGGGGGCGGTGGCGGGGCCATGCGGAGCGCGGGCTGAGCGCGGCGGCCGCCCCTCGCCATGAAGCGGCAGAACCTGCGCACGGCCGCGCTCATCCTCTGCATCTTCTCCTACCTGCTGGTGGGCGCCGCCGTCTTCGATGCGCTGGAGTCGGAGGCGGAGAGCGGCCGCAAGCGGCTGCTGGAGCAGAAGCGCGGGGAGCTGCGGAGGAAGTACCGCTTCTCCGCCGACGACTACCGGGAGCTGGAGCGGCTGGTGCTGCAGGCCGAGCCGCACCGCGCCGGCCGCCAGTGGAAGTTCGCCGGCTCCTTCTACTTCGCCATCACGGTCATCACAACCATCGGTGAGTGCGGGCAGCCCGGCCATCCCTCCATCCCCAACCCGCTGCACGCCGTGTCCCTCCATCCCCACATCCCGATACCCCGTGTCCCTCCATCCCCGTCTCCCATCTTCCTCTATCCCCACGCCCCTGCATCCCATATCCCTCCATTGCCACCTCCCTGCACCCCACCCTCCTCCATCCCCGCAGTACCCCCTCCAGTACCGCCGGGAGCTCCAGGACAGCCTGGGGGATGCCCACATGGCAGAGGCAGGTCTCCTCCTTGCAAGGCTTCCATCTCTTTAGACATCTCTTTAGCCCCCGCCCCGAGCTGACCCTGTGAGACCCCCAGTGCCCAGCGCTGGGGAAGGCAAGGCATGGGCAGGCTGGGGCCACCCCGGTGCCAGGGATGCTGCTGTGGCTGGGGCCACGAGACACGGTGTTGTCCCAGGGAGGCAGCACCTCGTGGAGCTTCTGCAGGAACCTTCGGGGCAGGCAGCTGCCCAAGCTGGCAGTGATGTGGGAGGGCAGAGGTGGGGACCACGTCTGCCCCTGCTCAGGGCTGTGTCCAGCGAGCCGAGCGAAGAGCTGGGCAAGAACTGTTGGCTTCTTTGCCAGCTCAAAACTCCAGAGGTTTGGCTGTGTGAGACCTGCTTCAGGGAGCCAAGAGAGCCACCAGCCACTGCCCCTTGTTCTACCTGCATGGGAACCTGCAGAGAGATGGGTGTCAGCTTGGAGGGGAATGATTGAATCACATGAAACTCCCACACAGACACATTCACCCACACTAGAGCCCAGTGCCTTCAATTTTGCAAGAGAATGAAACTAAATTGTTTGAGGGTTCCCTTAATTCTAGGTGAGATTAGCCACATGGGAGTTTAGCACTGTTTAATTAATCCATTTTGATTAATCCATGCACCCTGAGCATCCCATGGGGGTGGACAGGCTGGGATCCTGTGCTTTGCTTGTGCTGGGATTTCAGTCAGCAGATGTGTTTTGGAGGCAGGAATTCTGAGGCCAGATCCTGCCCTGCCACAGCCAGCAGCCACCTCCTCATCTGCAGGACAGGACTCAGCCTTACCAAAGGGCTTGGGATGTTTGAAACACCTCTGGTAGCTGAAAGCATCATCCCCCAGGACAAGGGCTGATGGGATCACTGCACCTTGTTACCAGAGGACAAGAGGTGGCAGAGGGGCAGGAACCCTGCAGGCCCTGCCTGGGGTCTCCATGTGTTCCCATGGGATGGGGGCCGTGCAGCTGGGAACACATGTGGCCAGCAAACAGCAGCGGGCTCAGGGCACAGTTCAGGTGAGGCCCCAGCAGGAGGGAAGGGTGAATGGCTTCAGCAAAAATCTCCATCACTGCCTGACAGGTTATAGCTTCATTTACATGATTTTCCTGTCAGCTGTGACAAACAATGGCTACGCTTCTCACACGCCCTGTGCGATAAATAATTGCAGCCCAGGTGCCATATTTCTGAAACACTGGCATGTCAGATCTCTTTATGTTGGGCTGTGCTCCAAATCTCAGTTTTAACGTTAATGTAGCTGTGTTTACTCTTTCTAATTCCCTTTGTCATTTTGAAAGCATCAGTCAAACGCTCTTTCAACAGTCTCTCAGGGTGTAACAACTGTTTTTCCACTTACTGCTCTTCTGGATCATTATATTTACCTCCTCATTGCTGTCATTGTATTATCTGGTAGCCTGGGATCTGGTAATTGCACTTGGTTATTAAGCTTGGATCTGACAGGGGTTTTTTGCCACTGCAGTCTCCCGTCTGCTCTGTATTCTGTGAAATGTGGCATGAAGGCATTAAGTTCATAATTTTTGATTGTGTGGGTTTGTGAACAGACAGAGCAATTAGAAGCTGGTGCCTTCCTGCCTGCTCACAGCTCAGAGCACAGCATGGTGCAGGATGCTGTCCTCAGCCCCTCAACCCTGTCCCAAGCAGGAGTTTCCTGGAGTGGGAGGTGTGTTCCAGAGCCCAGGATAACATGGTTATTCTCCTCTGGTCACCCCATCACTGTGTGCTGTCAGCTTCCACAAGAGTCCTGGGAACCCACTGGCAGCAAGGACAGAGGTGAAGCCAAGGCACAGCTTAGAGTAAGACAGAAATAAACAAGAGGGTTTCTTCTCCACGCAAAAGTCACACAAATTCCTGCAAAAACTGAAAATATAAGTAGCTGTTTGTGAAAGGCCCTGGCAGCAGCATGGGAAGGAGCCAGTGCTGTTCTGTGGGCACCTTCAGAAGGGAAGTTTCTGGCCCTGGTAGTTTCTTATAAAAGAAACTCAGAAGAAAGGCTTGGATGCCTTTGGATGCCTTTGGATGCTGTTACTCCCCATGCCACGTGACTCCCTGGCACTGAGTTTGTTACTCATCTGCTGAGGGCAGGGGCCACTGGTTTCTGTTAAGCTGCTGTAATTGAGGTGGGCACAGAATCACTGGAGTCTGGAAGATTGCAGCGAATACCTCGTTATGCCTCATGGTGTAATCGTGTGTGTCCTTGAGTCACAGCTCTGAAACTTGGACCAAGGTGGGGAAATTAAATCTCAGAAGGCATTCAAGGCAAACCTTGTCCTCCTTGAGCTCCTTGTCTGCGGGACAAGGTCTGACAGGGCTTCAATGGCATGAATACTCACTTCCCTGCATCTAAAACAGCACAACCCCTCCTCCCCAACAGTCTGGCCGTGATTTAGGTCTGAGTCTTGGTGACACTGGAGTAAATCCGGACTGGCTCTGCAGAAGTCCTCCCATACTTAGATGCTTCTGCAGGGACTGGCTCTATAACTCCTGTCCAACAAGGTCACACAGCGGGTGCTCATATAGCCGAGAGTCAAAGGTTCCTGTGACACTGGAGTGCTCAGGGGGAGCAGAAGCAGGTGCCAGGGGAGGTCTCAGTGCCCCTGGACAGTCCTGGCCGGGTGTGTTCCCTCCCACAGGGTGACCCTGGCACTGTTGTCTCAGCATCCTGTGGAACCCTCATCCTCCCTAAGGTTACCCTGCACACCTGGCACTGCACTGGCATAGCCTCTGAATTGTTTGTGAGCTGCAAGAGGCTTGTCCAGCTCTAGACCCCCGTCCAGCTCTAGGGCTCCTTGTGGCCTCTGCGACAAGCTTAGGGTCTGTCAGGAGGGGACCTTCTCTCTTTAGAGGCCAAGTGAGGTTCCACCTACATAAAAGTGCGATTTTATGGATGTGGCCTCACGTGGCCCCATTAGCACTGCCTGCAGATCTGTTACTGAGTCATTTCCCATTTTCCCTACTGCTCCTGTGGTCCCAGGGCAGCCTTGCTGGAAACCCTAGTGAGGGCTTGACACCACTTTTCCTCTTTCCTTCACAGGCTATGGACACGCTGCCCCGGGCACGGATGCCGGCAAAGTTTTCTGCATGTTCTACGCCATCCTGGGCATCCCCCTGACGCTGGTCATGTTCCAGAGCCTGGGGGAGCGCATGAACACCGTGGTGCGGCTGCTGCTCAAGAAAATCAAGAAGTGTCTGGGCATGAGGACAACCCATGTCTCCATGGAGAACATGGTCCTTGTGGGCTTTCTGTCCTGCATGGGCACCCTGTGCATCGGCGCCGCAGCCTTCTCTTACTTCGAGGGCTGGACTTTCTTTCATGCCTATTACTACTGCTTCATCACCTTGACCACTATTGGCTTTGGAGACTTTGTGGCTCTGCAGAAGAACGAGGCTCTGCAGAAGAAGCCCCCGTACGTGGCTTTCAGCTTCATGTACATCCTGGTGGGCCTGACCGTCATCGGCGCCTTCCTCAACCTGGTGGTGCTGCGGTTCCTGACGATGAACTCGGAGGACGAGCGGCGGGACGCCGAGGAGCGAGCGTCGCTGAGGAGAGCCCGGAACAACATCCACCTCAAGCCAAAAGAGGACAGCCGGAGCAGCAACGCCATTTTTCTCCCCGTGGAGGACAGGACGAGCCAGATGAACCTGATCCCGCTGGTCCAGGACGTGGAGAGGCAGCGGCGCCAGTCGGCCAACTCTGCGGCCGCGGTGCCCTCCTTCTGCACGTGCCTGTGCTACAGACCCCAGGTGTGCGGCAGCCCCGTGCCCTCCCACCCCGAGACCCTGAGCTGCCACACCAACCCCGTGTACTACAACTCCATCTCCTACAAAATCGACGAGGTGTCCCTGAGCACGCGGGGTCAGACCGGCTCTTCCCCAGGGAGCACTTTGTCATCCAACAGCCCTCGCTGCCGGCAGCACCCCCGGCTGCGCAGGAAATCCATCTAGGAGCGTGTGCCCAGCTGCACTCAGTGCTCGAGTCTTACCATGATGATAAATTAAGAACAGAGATGCCAGGTTCTTCTTACTCTCTCATTTCTTCTGTTCCTCTCCCCTTTCAGCTGGCAGCCAGCCCCACGCAGGGTCCAGCAGGAGCCTTTAAACCCTGTCTAGAAATAAGTACTCCTTTTTTTGCAGGCACCGAATGACACTGTCAGTTTTTATTTGCTTTTTCCTCCCAGGTAGGTTCAGGCATTTGGGTCTGGCAAGAGCCCCCCTGGTGTGAAGCCCGGCGAGCTGTAGGTTTGCTTTCCCACCTCCCTGCTCCCCAAAGGGTGCATTGCTGCTTTCCCACCCTGCCAAACCTTGGCTGTGGCTGCTGCCAGCACATGGCTCCTGCTCCGTGGGGTGGGTTGCACTTGCTGAGACTACCAAATCCAGGGCCCATGTGAGTGAGCCCTGCAGGGTTGGGGACCTTTAAGTTGTCCCCTGACACTGGGTGCAGGTAAGTCAGTGCCATGCAGTAGGTTTGCAGCTGGTGATGGGCAGGGGGGAATGGGCTCAGCACATGGGGATGGCTTCATGGAGCTGCATCTCCCAATCCTTTAGGCTGGCTCAGTGCTTCTGGAAGATGGAGGCCCATGCACTCACCCACTTGCCCATCAGCACACTGTACCTCTTACACCTTACTGCCACTGGGAGGTCCTGAGGTGGCTGATGGGATCTGTGTCCCACTCACAGGGGAAGCTGAACTCCTGCAGTCCAGTCCAGTCCAGTCCAGTCCAGCCCTCCTCTGCTGAGCCCACACTGTGCTAAGGGCAGCCCCAGGGAGAGCCTTCCTCAACCACACAAAGTCACTTGAAAAGGGCTTGCCTTGAGGAGACTTTTTTTTTAGCTAAAATCACCCCTCCCTTCCCCACCTTTCCTCCAGCTGGAAGCCCAGCAGGAGTGCCAGCTCCTCACCCCCTCACGGTCCCCACGAGCCCCTGGGTCTGTGTTTATTGCTGCTGGGATTACCTGAGGGGGCTGATCCCATCCCCACGTGCCCCCCACACCTGGGAGGCTCTTTCCAGCTGGTGGCCTTTGTCCATCCTGTCTCATCTGCAGGAAAGCAGGACTAGGCTCTGACAGCGGTAGGAGCCCTGTTTCACTTTTTTTTTCCCCAATGAAGGGACATTTTCACTACTGGCTCTATCTAAATACACTCTGAGGGGGTTTTTCTGAAGGAAAATCCACTTTTCTTGATGTGAAGGCACGGAGAGTGCCGGTGTTGGAAAGGTCTCAGGGCAGGCTTTGCTCTCTCCCCTTTTGTTCCGGGTGGCAGCTTAATAAAAGATGAATCCAGCTGGTGGTGGTTGGTTATTTGTCAGGAGGAGGAGGAGCAGAGGGATGTGTCCAAGCCCCAAACCCCAGAGACTGCAGTTCCCCCCAGGGGCCCAGCAACTGCCTCACTTTGCACCAGTGGCCCCAGATCTGGACCAGCTGGGTGAGCCTTGGTTTTAAAGAGAAAGGGGGTGGGGAAGCAGAAAGCAAGCTGTGAGCGTGTAAAACAGGCTTAAAAACGAGACTTTCATTGGCTTCTGATCTCCTCAGTGGTGCCACTTCATGCTGATCCCACCAGCTCAGCCCCTTTGTTGCCATCTCCCATCTCCCCCACCCTCCCCAAGGCTGTCAGCCCAAGGCTTGGCTGCAATGTGATGCCTTTGCCATCAGAGCTGGGCAGCAGATGGAAATCTCTCCCTCTTTCCCTGTTAAACCTGGGACACCTTCCCAGAGGACAAGATGGAGATGGCACCTCTCACCCTCATCCACCCTCATGGAAAGAGGCAGGTCTTGAGTTCCTGCCCAAAGCAGAGCCTGCACAGCATTGCCCTGGTGAAACCCACCTCTCACGGAGTTGGAAGCAGGAGAACATCCCCAGTGCAGAGGCTGAGCCAGCTTTGCACTCTCCCTCTGGATTCAGGCTGGCATTACCCGTGCTCAGGTCACAGAGCCCACCATGCACAGGCAGAGTGGGCAGAGGCAGCGGGGTTGTGCTGTGACATCTGCCCCGGGGAGGACAGTGCTGCTGAGGAGGTGATGGTGCAGAAAGTGGGGGACACACTTAGGGTTATTGCTGCTCCCATGTGGCCTGAGCTTCCAGGCAGCACTGCTGGGGAGCTTGGCTGCTCAGGGACCGCCTGAGCCCTGCTTTGGAAGCTGGTGATGGTCTGAGGGTGGGAGATGCTGTTCACCCCCAGGTGCCCCCAGACACTCTCACTGCTAAAGAAACTCTCCCCCTCCTCCCTCCACCACTGCTCCCTGGGGGCTGTAGCTGGGGCGGGTGAGAAGCTGCCCCTTGGTCCTGCCCCAATGACCAGCAGAGGGATGTGGAGGCACGAGAAAAACCTTTAAGAAAATTCCCCATGAACTATGACTTGTGATCCCTCATTGCTCCCATATGGGAAAAGGGCTTGTGCTGGCTCCCCAGGGAATGCTGCCTGTTCTCACCACCTCCTCACACAGATGCCTGCAGCAGAGCCCCCTAACACTTCCCACCCCAGGGCTGACAAAGGTCACCCAGGAGCAGGCAGCAGCTGCACACCCAGTGACATCCGAGGGTCTCCTTCCCCAGGGATCCCCAGGCTCCCCTGCACCCACACTCACTCAGTATTCCCAACAGCCTGGGGCAGGGGTACTTTCTTCTGCCAGCAGTCTTCACCTTCAGGGTTTCAAAATCACCCTTGAATGGCCAGGACTGGGCATGAAGGATCTTGGGAAGAAAACAGCAGGAGCAGAAGGCTTTGGACTGGGGTGGTGAGCGGAATACAGCTGGGAGCAAGCTGAGCTCTGTGTCTGGGGAGGCCCATGGCCCAATTTCATTCAGAAGTGTCACAGGGAAATGCAGGTTTGAAGCTGGGGCTGATTGAGGGAGCTGGAGTGAGGGCACTTCCACAAAGAGCACTGGCAAGGAGCCTGGGACAGAACCAGGACACACCAGGATGAGTTGCTCTCACTCCCCACAGGCACAAGAAGAAGGGAGGGCCCAGTTGAAATCAGGCTGAAGATCAGGGTGGTGGCAACAGAGAGGGCACAGACACTCCGCAAAAAAACCTCCAACACACCATAGGAAAAAAAAAGGTTTTATTATCACCATTATCAACGTTTTCATTAGCTTAACACTGAATTGTAAATCACTCAATCATTACATATTGTCTGAATAAAACCTACAGACAGGAAAAAAGTATAGCAGAATCCTCTCCTGACTACAGACGAGGGCCGGTGTCCCACCGGCGCTGCAGGGACGTGTCCCACCTTCCACCCAAGGCAGCCCACGCACCTCGCAAGCCCCTCACCCCGGGGCAAAGGCTGCCCAGCTCCATTGCCTGTGTTCCCTCCGGCTCCACGGAGATTACATCTCACCACACGATGTTAAAAAACCTCCAATAAGTTTTGGAGAGGGTTACCAGAGGCCGAAAAGAGGCAGATCAGCTGCCCCCACTCCTGCAGAAAGGCAAGAGGAGTGCAGTGCCCCTGCAAAGCTGTTGGGGTTTGTGAAGCGATTAATGAAGTAAAAAGGGTTAACCCATGAAAGCAGATTTCCCTATACTGGCCAGGCCCTGGCACGAGAGGAACAAGGCAGAGCACCTGCATGCTGGAGTGGGGAGGTGAGGGTGTGGATGGGCTGGGGGTGGCCCCATCCTCGAGCAGAGGCCAGCTCTGCTGGATCGCCCCGGGGCTCCCGGCGGGCAGCCTGGGAGGGACACGTCAGTGAAAGAGATGCCCTGGGCAGCTTCAGTCCCCTCGGGCTGGAATAAGGCCTTGTATGGAGAGGGAAGGGGGAACCCCTGAAGGGAGCAGAAGATGCTGGGGAAAGCAAAGGGAACCTGGAAGAAAGCTAGCTGGGAGCTCCCCTTCTCCCCGGGCAGCACAGGGGCAGATCCCGGTCTGTCCTCTCCCGGCTGTCAGTGTGGCACATCCCACCTGCCTGCGCCGTGCAGCCCCTGCAGAAGACCCCTTGCTCCTTCCAAGGATGGGAAAAGAAGGACCCCCTGTGGTTTGAATCTGGGACTGCCACGAAACGTGGGCAGGACACGGGCATCCCTGGTGGGTGGCAGGCCATGGCAGTGCTGCATGAGGGGGTCTTGGGGGAGGCACTGCATCCCCGGGATGCCCTTTGCTGTTTCCTGGTGCAGGGAACAGCCTGCAGGGAGCAGGAGAAAGGCATGCCCAGCGTGGTGAGGCTGTGGGATCGTGCCTTGGACTCGCTCTCCAAACCTCACTTTCCTTTGTTCCAAAGCCAAAAACAGCTCCAGGTTGAGGAGACGAAATCACCAAAGCAGAAACCAGTGTGCAGCACTGGGTAAGGAGCAACAGCCACAAAGAAAAAACTGTTGCGGGATTTCGAGCTCCAGGCTGGCTGTTAGTGGACCTGGAGCAGCTATCCCAATGTGTGATGCCCAAGCAACTACAAAAACCAACTCCTGGAGAGCCTGTGGGATGGCTTCAGCATCCTGGATCCTTCCCTCGGGTTGCTTCTGCCCCCATCCCGCTCAGGGAGTGGAGCTCACAGCTGTGCCCTCACGGCCTCTCTGCCAGACACAGCCCTTCCCTGCCCAGCATGGGGGTCTTGAGCCCACCTGAGGTGCCCAGCATAAATGCCAAGGCTGTCTGCTGACCTGGCTGAGCAGGGCTGAACAACACAGCTTTGGGTGCTGTTTTAGCTACAGGGATGTCACAAAGGGAAAGTCGATGGGTTGTTGCCTCTGTTTGCTGGTGCTCTGGAAAGGGCTGGTGCAGGGCCCTTCTGTTACAGCCTCTTAAGTGCAAAGAACCAAACGCTACAAGAAACTCTCCCTGGTTCCTCCCCTCTAAAAGAGTAAGAGCAGCTACCATGGGGGAGGAGGGCAGAGGGTGTCTACACTTTGAGAAGAGCCTGAGGTTCCCCAAGAATGACTGTGATGCTGCTGTCGTGGGTGAGCAGCTGGGGCTGGACGTGTGGCTGCTTGGTCACGGGGATGTGGCCACTGAGCAGAGGAGCCTGGCAGTGTGAGTGGAAAACTCGTCAGCCACGTTTTGAGAACACCTAATCACTTGCAAACTCCCTGGGGAATTAACTTGTTCTCAGACACACACCTTGGCTGGTGTGCACTGGGGTAAACATGAAAAGGCTCTCACTGATCATCCCCTTTTCTAAATGTTTGGCTCAAATTTGGTAGCTGCAATTTCATTTTAGATGCTCCCTCCAGGTTTCAATATGCCCTGGGCTCCTCTACTGACGGCGCTTTGCATTTACATCTTTCTCTCTCCTCAAAGCGTTTCACAAAAACCAGGAATTCTTCCATCATTCCTCCAGGCTCCCAGCACCACTGGGACTTGCTGCCTGCACAGCCAGCAGTCTGGCAGTCTTGAGAACAACACAGAGACCTGTCCTATGGGAAATGCTGCAAGGAATCCACAGGCAATGAACTGGGACACTGTTCTGAGGCTGTTTTATTCTGTGCACTGCACCAAGTCCAATATCCTGATCCTGCCACTTTGGAAAAATCTTCAGGTGAGCCCAGCACTAGCAAACTTGTGGAGAATGGCACAGAACTGTGCCTTTGTTACCCCCCAGTCCCCCGTGATCCTCTGCGAAGGTGCAATCTCTCTGCCTTGGGTGGAATTTTCTAACAAAATGGACAAACACCACCTATGAAATGGACAAAATAACCCACAAAGCCTTTAAAGAAGAGCAGCCCAACCTGCTGCTCTGAAAAAAACCTCCCTTTAGCTTGCCCCTGGTATCTCGAGGAAAATAGGCAGCTGTCAGGCAGAACTGATGTGGCCCCAGAGTGCAAAGGCTTTTTTGCTTTATCAGGGCTAAGGTGGCAGTGGGAACCATTCTCGTCGAGTTACAAACACTAGATAGCCTAAGAAAAACCAGGAGATTGAAACAGTCGTGAAGTTTATACTGAAACTATTTTTTAACCTCTGTATTATGAAGTCACCTACAGCTCTTTCATTCCTCACCTAAGAGAGATCTCATGTCGATGGGCACAGACACTCACAGAGAAGTCTATAGGATGAATATATCTCACAGGGCAACAGCCCAGTCTTTGTTTTTTACAGTCAAAGTTAATATGGATCTTTTTCGAAAGTGATGTCGTTGAGATTGAAGACAATTATAAACTGTATCAACAATATGTACTACAGCCTGCAAGTCACAATCTGTGCACACCAAATGGAATATATTATTGCTTGGTAGCCTATTAGACTTTCTTTATAAAAAGATTTTTATACAGAGTACAGGATTATGACAAAACTAGCTAAGTAGTTCTCATCTTGAAAATACAACATCAATTCTTTCAACAAAGTAGCTGAGAGTTAATGAATGATAACAAATACTTACTAATAATTTTATGGCCAGTTTGAACAGAATTTCTTATAGGACTCTTTTCTGGTGTTTATTTACATATGCCTCTTTTCTTTTGGAAAAAAGTTGATAAAATATAACAAGGAACATAGAAATCAAAAGAATGAGTAAACTTCATACCAAGAACATCAAACATTTCTGAAAACACTAAATTATGTTACCTGTTAAAAAACGTACATATCATTTTGTCTTTAAAGAAAAATATTCTTCCTGTTTTAAAATATTACCAACAGCATGTAATAAACTAACTTAAAATGAGTTTCATAAAAAAGTTGTCTTGCTGTCTAAACGTTACTAAACATGCTTAGGTTGAGATTCTGTTAACTGCCTCAACATCTTAAAAACAGCTCCTTTACAGGAACTTGTGATATTCATACTCCAGAAGACCTGCAAATTTAGAACAGTACATTGATAAAGGATCTGGTAGCTAGGAACAATAAATATATATTTTCATTCAAAGCAAATAATGCTGCAATGTCCTTTGAAACAACCCATGCCCAAGAAGTGGGGATGCACTCGACTGAACAATAAAGTCACCTGGCCCTTACCCTGCCCAAGGACACAAGTGCCCGCATGGCTCCGACTGCACGATGAGGACCCATGGATTGAACTGCAGACTGAGGACCTTGTGCTGGCTCTGTGCCACCCCAGCTGTGTTGGGGCAAAGGGAAAAAACCACCAAGAGACTGGGAAAATACCTTTTTTTTTTTTTTTCCTGAACAAACCAGGACCAGCCACGGTCACGGCTGCAAATTTTTGCTCAGAGCACAAAGAGGACAAAGCCACATGTGAGGCTGCTCTCCCTGTGTGCAGGGGATTCCCACTGGGGAGAGATTATTCTGCTCTCAGCATCAAGATTTGTTTTCCATGGGAATAGTAATGCAGGTAACATTTAGGGATTGGCTCTCCATGGTTTTTTTGGCCAGCAATCCTCCTATTACCATTACAACATAGTAGTTCATGCCCAACCCTGAGCTGGGCAGGCATTTATCTCTCCTCAGTCTCATCCCTCATCACGCTCACAGACCAAAAAATACTATAATGCCTTTTTTTCTTTTATTTAAGTCTCCTGCTCTTCCTCTCTCCCTTGTCTCTGACTAGAACTAACAGCAAGACTCAGGCACAGGAAAAGGCTCAGCCAGGACTTGCAAAGGGAACCAAAGTTGAGTTTCCAGTTGCTCATCACTCTGGCAAATGTCTGCTTTGTACACAACCAAGTCTGAGACTTGTCTTGGATGCTATAGTGGGAGTATTTAAATTGATGGATAACTAGAAGAGTTCTTTTTTTTACTACAATACGCCATGGTCAGTGCAGGAATCATGGGTATGAGCAAAGCAAGAATTTAGACTTTGGGGTACTATGCAACTCTCCTGGTCTCACTCTGTATCCCATGAGCACACTCAGGAGGGCCCCTGGGAGTCTGCTTTAAGAGGGAAGGTCACCTGCACTTGCCAGTTCAGTGGCTGTGCAGCGTGTGGCAGCCAGGGATGGCAACGCTCACTCACTGGGGAGAAACAGGACTGGGAAGTGAGTAAAACAAAAGCAAGAGCCACTGGACCACAGTCAACCACGTAAAAAATGCAGAAGAAAACAGGACAGAGCAGACTGTTAAACTGCCTCCGAATCACAGAACTGGAGACCTTAACAAAGATAACACAACCAGAACTGTAACTTCTGTGTTTTACCCTGACAGTGACCTTTTCCTGTGATTAAAACCAGACGGAAGATGGTCCTCAGTGCTATGGAGTCCTGTGGTAACTAAACTGATCATCACTGAGCCTGCAGAGCTTTTGGAGGGGCAGGATACAGAGACACGTCGTGTCTGCCAGGGAAACAGGAACTGAGCTTTTTGACAGACAGTCATTAAACAAAGTTTTCTGGGGGAATGTTTTTGGCATGTATAGTCTCCTACTCCCTGTTAAAGACTGCAAAAATGCTGCATTCATCTTCCTGGACACAGGAAACCCAGGATTAACTTAGCTCTTACTGGTAGATAATGTCCAAACTAAGTACCCATACAAAGGTTTCAGCATAACCTAAGACAGAAGCCCTGTTACTCAGCTGCCAGGTCTGGCATGTACCTGGAGCTCCCCACAGTCCTTTTAAAGTCATAGTTATTAAAAGATCCAGTGCTACAAACCACTAAATCTACCTTATCTATTCTAGTTCATACACATATTGTACAATATTGCCTAGTACTCACTACATACCAAGAGGAAAAGATGCTGACTTGAATTACAAGTAAATGTGCTTTTTTAAAAAAAATAAAAATAAGAGAGAGCGCCACAACATAGTTTGACCAGCATGCAACAAACTTTCTTCAGCTAATATATAGAAATTGTCTAATACAATTAGAAAAAATAATTAGTGAGAGGCCCGAGACATATTTGATCAAGGAAATAAGGAGATTTATCTGAAATGTTGAGGCTTTTGCCACTGAAGACTCAAAAAACTAGACATTCTATGTCCCTTGTCCTCCTTCCCTCTCCTTTATATTATATAATTTCTTATAGATTATTGTAAGGCCTATAATTTTTGCATCTATCATGTAATTTACCTCAAAATAATTTAAAATGCCATAGACAAGCTAGGACCAAAAGCAACTGCTTTTACCATCCACTCAACACTCATGCTTTTATTCTAACAAAGCTGAGGTCCACATGCAGAAATAAATGCTCAGTATTTCTCTATGACAGCTCAAGAATCTGCTCATTCCTACACGTGACATGGGACCTTCACTTTTAAATCACAAAGCAAAACATCTCCAAAAGCTTATTTATTCTGGGATAGCAGTCATCAAATCCTCATTAGGAACTAAGACAAAACCTAGCCAAAACAGAGCTATCAACAGAAAACCTTCGGAGGTTCTCTGTGATTTTGGGTAATTTCATTGTTGGGAGGATCTAGTGCACTTCCTCCAGCACCTGGCTCTGCTGGCAACAGCTGCCACAGCTCAGCAGCTCCAAGAATGTGCTTGACTGGATCTACAAGACTTGTTTACAGTCAGAGTTGCACTTTAATGAACAGAATATACACGCTGTGACCACCGTGTGTCACATTCCTCACTCACTACCTCTCTGTACTTCAGGGGTCACATCTCCTCTTGCAGGACACTTGACAATGTCTGTGTACTACTGACACTGCCTAAAGCTCCCCTCTCTCCACAGGGAAGGTTATGTGCTCTCCAGCATCTTCTTGTCAGATGACAAACTGAGGTTTCTTTATTCTGCACCCCCAGAAACCCCAATCTCCTCTCCCATGGCTGAACAAAACAGTCCTGTTTCAGGTCAGTCCACAGCACAACAGGAAGGGCAGCATCTCCAGCAGATATGTACCAGTACAAGGGAGACGGAGGCAAAGCAGGAGACAGAAGACATCATGACTGAAGGATGCACAGCAACAAGGTAAGGGGGTCAGTAAACTGCAGAACGTTGTATCTGACAATACAAAACATGTCAAGTTGCAACTCTGATGTTCAGCTCCCACTTCCAGTGGGGTTTTTTTCTGAGCAAAACTGCAGTTAATTATCCTGCTAAACTCGAACTCTGTTTAAACTGTCTGGTCTAAGTAGGTGCTACTTGTTCTCCCACCAAGTTTGCTTCATCAGCAGCGTCAGACACGTAATGCAGTAAAGACACTTGCTGGTAATTTGGCACAGTTTGAAAACACAGCTACGACAGTGTTACAGCTAACATGACTCAGTGACAGGGAACTGATTCTGAGGAAAGAGTTGCAGGTTTCTTTCTTTTTCTTCTTTTCAAAAAAAAAGACCTTATAAAACCCTAATGCTTCCTCCTAAACTTTCTGCTCCTGCTCTTTTCAGGCCAGATGTTGACCTCTGAATTTTTCGGGTACCTTCTCGTGAAAGAATCCGTATTAGAAATTTCTAATATGCACAGTTAAGAAAAACTCCTTCCTTACCCCCCCTCAAATTCTTTCAAACGCTGCAACTTTTCAGGGTTAATATTGATCTGAAACAAGGGTCCAAGAATGACAGTGAGAGAAGTGAAACAAGAGGTGTATGTCTAATTTGACAACTAGGACTCATGCCCCACGGCACCTCCTCCTCGGACGGAGAGGGCACAGTGCCCTCCCCCTCGTCTTCTGTCTAAGGTCACTGGTTTATCCTCCTCTTCCAGCTCCACAAGAACTGATTGAACATGCATTGCGCTTGAGGTCAGAGTTCCAGCAAACAAAACCTTTGACAGCATGTTTAAAAAACAAAAGCAGTTCCCCCTTCCTTACTCACTAAGACCTGTCACAGCAGGGTCCCACTGTGCTCTCCAGGGAAAGCTGTGAGGACTGACGCAGGAGCGGGCCTGTAGTGGGATCTACCATGGAGGAAGTTGGGAAGAGCTTGTACCAGCCGATTGCTAAAGTTGACAAATCCAGTTCTTCCAGGAGGACCCTGGCGACTCCCATGAAGTGCTTGCGCTCCATGCGCCCATAGTTTCCCCAGACTATCACCTTAGGAACAAGAAGGGGGAGCACAGTTAATCCTTCAACTGGCACACTTGCTTGGGAAGCACAAGTCTGACCAATCCTTTCTACTCATCCAACTTCTTGGAGCTTTACTGCAGCCCAAGAAGACCAGAAAAATTTACTATACCAACAGGTAACGTGAAGCTCTGGCTGATGATATTGCTGATTTTTTTAAGCACGTGTTTACAAATTCTAATGTTATCAGATACTTATTCCCCCATGGAAAAGAGGTAAATGTGCATGTGGATAAGACACCAATCTGCCATTCTACCTGCTGGGCAGGGACAGCACCTGCACAAAATATCCCTGGAGCTGCAGTCCAACACCTGCAGGTAAAACCTGTTCCTGGCACATGACAGGCCTTGGATACACCAAAAGGTGGCCTGGGGGGAAAGTGCAGGAAGAGCTCCTTATGTGGGAAAATAAACCAACAAAAAAAAAAAAAAGGTGGGCAACAGCTTGGGTCAAAAGCCAACAGTCTGAAGAAAAGAGCATGTTTTAACTTCTGCACTTGGAGCTTGTGGCACAGGGCAGATGGAGACGAGGCACAGCCACTCACCTGGAGGAAGGGCAGGAGCCCAGTGACACAGGGGACACGTGGGGTGGCACGAGGGGAAGCAGAACAGACGGCCGAGATCGGCTCGCAGACGCAGAGAAGGGCTAATGACAGAGCTGGCAGGCGAGCAGGGAAGGCTGAATCACACTTACGACATGATGGAGACCAGTGGGTGGAACAACAGATGCAGTGAGGGTCATGGAATTAGGCATGCTGGAGGCCTGCACGTGGGCAAGGGGCCCTACGTGGCTCCAGACAAAGGAGACGACTGACTCCAGAGCGAGTCCGTGTTCTGAAGAGGAGAGGATGAGTTGGGTGGGTTATGACAATGACCAGTGATCTCTGGCTAATCCTCACAACCTCCTTCCCACCACATTACAAATTTCTGTAAAATGAGGTAGGAGAGACAACGAATGTCAAGTAAAACACAAAAATTCACACTCTAGGCCAGCAGGAGATGGAGCAAGCCACTGCACAAAGTTGGTTTGGTGACATGGCAATCAGCAGAGAGCCAAGCTCCTCATTTTATTCTCTTGTGCTATCATTTTACTGCCTTTCCTGGCAGCAAGGCAGCAGGTAAGGAAATCCACGCAAGGCAAGAGCAGACCAAGCCAGGTTCTACCCCAGTTCAGTCAAAAATGTGCAGCCTCGTTGCATCAGGGGAAAATGCTTCTAATCAAGGTAGATGAGAAAGAAGTCACTAATGAGAAGGGTCCAGCAGGTTATCTGGCAATTCATATGCCAGTTGAGGTAAACAATAGAAACTCACAGATGAATTACATTAAGTATTACAAATGGATTTTAGTCAGGCTTTATTAGATGGAAATGATTTTTATATGAATCAACAATGCAAATCATTCTTTGCTCTGGAAACTGAGGTGAAAATATGAGTATGATAGAAAATGTATGGCAGTAACAGAAAAGAGGTTAGAAAAGGGTAGGATATGTGACTGGGTGATGGCCAAAGCAGAGTGTTCTGTATGTCTATAAACACAGAAGATAACCAATGCTGCAGATTGTTTAGCAGCTATAGGTACCGCCTATCTCCTAATTGGGTGGGGAAAAAAACCAATTAAAAAAACAAAAATCAACCTCTTCTTGGTAGGTATTCATGATAATTGGCAGAGGATGAAATAATCATCAGTTTGAGTGTGAAAAAAAAAGGGGTTCCTTTCCATTTGCTACGTTCAGATGGAGTGCATTTGGTTCAAGAAAAACATTGGCTTTTTCTCATCCCTGTTAATTATCCAGGTCCCTTGCCAGACTTATTATCTTCCCTAAGAGGTGGAAGAGAGAGATGGGCAGCCTTGAGATTTGCTCATCTTACCTGTAATACTTTGCCCTGGGGGCTCTCAGCAAACAGTAACACCTGATTGTACAAAGGGTCTAATGATTTGCGAGCCACTTTTGTCTTCTTTTTCGCGATGCACACGCCGTTCTCTAGCAGGTAAGCTTTGATGTAAGCAGCTGGAAAAAACAAACATGGTCAAATATGAAAACAAATCTTCATGCTCACTTTAGAAAAGACAGAGTGCCATGTCTCAGGTATTTCTGAAGAAGGCATTTACAGCAGGGAAAAGATTTGTTCAAGCAGCCTTTTTTTCAATGCTGCACACAGATTGCTTAGTCCTGCTGAAGCCCAGTGAAATTAAAATTTCTCCTATTCACAAGCATCACGGGAGGCTGGGGCTCAGGGAATTACTTTAGGAGATCAAAGCATACTACCTGGCAGTGTTTTGGAGCCGGGTTTTGGTGTCAGTCCTCGAGCCTGAATGATATCCACTTCTAGCTGCCCATTTCGCTCTTGCAAGCCAATTTCCACGTCCCCTAAACCAAAATGTCAAAATAAACAGAAGGCTTTTGAAACAATGTATCCCTGGGCTATTAAAATGTTTAAAAACAATCCTCATGTCCTGCCTGCTACAAGCTGCAAAAAACTGTATGTGCCTGATCTCCTCCTGTGTTACTCTGGAGCAGCTCTACAGTGATTCCAGCCCACACTTTCAAAAGCAAATTCGACTGCCAGCCCTCTAATATGGCTTTGGGGGCTCAGTCTCCTACTCTTTGTGGCAACAAGACTCTCACCTTTCCCAAACAAAAGCACCTAGGATTGCAGGCTGCTTTGGAAAATGCAATTATGGTGGATCATAAAATCCTTACAGAGCACGGTGGGCCTTAGAGAGAAAGAAAAACCCCAAGATGCACAGGATGCATTTTCAGGACTTTTGCTGTGTTTTTCTTAGTCTGTGCCTTTCAGAGCTGAGGGAGGAAAGTACAAAGCTGCTGCTCTCCTGCTAATGCCACATGTGCTACAGTCAGCAAAACCTTTCAGCCAAGCACACTTGATTTAACAGAGAAATGGAGCAGGACAGTGGTAGATCAGCAGACACTGGACACGTTATTAGTGGCCTGTAGGAGCGGTTCAAAACTAAATTAAAGCCACCCAACACTTTTGTGTTCCTTACCCATCGAGGTGGTGGCCAAGGTCTGACGCCCAACAAACTGTGCAGGGCCCATGCTCCCCAGGAAGTCACTGAACTGCCCAGCAGATGCCAGATGGACTCCACTGAAATTCAAGCTGCAAAAGAAAATTATTTTGGTAAGTGGTTAATTTGCATTTTAAAGCAACCCATTAATTAAAGAACCAGATTTCATACACCTTTGCAATGAATGGCATCGAGAGAAACCTTCTTCTCTTGCAAAAGTCATTGATTTCCACACAGTTTAGTTTCACAGAATCCATTCAAAATCTATTTCCTTGCACAGAAAAAAACAATAGTGTCTGAAGTCACCAACTGGTCAATGTTTGTTTAACTACAACTCATTGTAAAATCTCTGCCATCTCAGGCTCATATGCAGCCTGTCACCTCTTCTAGGTAGCAGATTCCTAGAGTAGCTTATGGGATCCTCTTGATCCCTGATTGACTCTTCCCAACCCTCATTTCTGGGGAGGAAATAATGCATCTAGAGCAGTGGTTAAAAGTGAGATGAGGGGGTGAGCATCAATCCCCTTGGGACTCAAGTCCCAATTACTTATCACATTTACATATCACATACACAGAGAGCAATACATCTCCTTTTTGACCAGAGGGTCCCATTTCCTACTGCTCAACACCAGAAGCATCCATCCCATCCCCTCTATGGTGTTCATACCTGCTTCCCAGCTAGTCACAAAAAGGACTGAACACTGTGCAAGGCTAAAGAGGCAACGTCCTCAAACCCCAGCAATATCTCTGCCGCAGTCATCGCAGCAAAACAAAAGCTGTTGGGAGGACAGAGCCTCCAAATCTAGTCACCAGGTACTGAGGCTGGTCCATGGCATGGCTACAGGTGCTGGTCACTGCACTTGGACATGTGTGAAGCAACACAAAAGCGTCAGACGCTGAGGCACTCTGATACCAACCAAGATTTACTCAGTTGCGCCCTGATTTACGCAGCTGTTTTCGAGGTTGTAGAAAAACTTGCTGCAAATGGTGAGGAGGCTCGAGGCCAGCATTTGACACCTACACTTGTCCTGCAGGCATCTGCCAGCCCATGACACAGCTGCTGAGACACACGTCAGGAGCTCTGTGCCGGGGTACCCACGCTGCCGCGCCGGGTGTTGCACTCTGCCTCCGGGGAAGCTGCTGCGTGCCAAAGCCAGGCACAATTACAAACCTCCTCCACTTTTCCAAACGTCCTTGGAGGGGGGCAATTACCCACGTAATGATGCAGCTCCCTGCTTCCCCAAATTCGTTTCTCAGGATGCTGTGAGGAGGCTGCACACTGGGTACAAGTGATGGCAGATCGGAGCCCTGCCTGCGGGGCGGGCTGGGGACCACAGGCTCTCACACAGCTGACTCAGCCACAAAGACTCACTGATGCCCCCCCTGCAAGCCAGTTACATTTTAAAAGACATTAAAAAGAAAAAAAAGAAATTATTTTTAAACCCCATTCAGCCGGCAGAATGTTAATTTCAGGTTAGGATTTCAGCTCTCATTAGCTATTTTCAGACCCGGTCTCAGCCCCACGAGAATATTTATTTATTCTGACAAGGAATTAGAAAGGCAGCACACACACCTCAGCATCTCGCCATGCATGGGCTGAAGAGAATGTGTCCCCAGCTCGTGTCCTCACGACAGGTTCACTGGGTGGCTCAGCCCCCCGTGACAGGGACACTGCATTAAATGGCCCGACTCTTCCACGGAGCACTGCACCTCCCTCTGTGCTGACCTGGCTCTTTGAGAAACCTGGTTACTGCTGCTACACAGGGAGCTGCTGAGCCATCAGCATGGAAAACCCTGCCCTTGAGCTCTTTATGAATGTCACCTCTGTGAAAAGGGAGGAAGGTGTCTCGGCATCCTGGCAGACAGGCTTGGAAGGGACGGGCTCTCCACTGGTGGATTTTCCCCCCTTCAGTGTTTTTTTACCCCACCTTCACTGTTTGTTGCATAAACACTCAGGGTGATATTTTGAGATACAACAGGAACAGCGGGATTTATTGTTGGCATTAATTGCAGAGAAGGTTTAACATTTTTCTTGTCTTTCAGTGTCACCAACTCCTCAGTGGCACAAGGTGCATCCCCAGTGCCAAGATCTGTCCCGGGAGCAGGGGTGGCACAGGGCCACACTTTGCTCCCTCTGGGTAGGGGACTCCTGCCCCACCACCCACCTGGCATCTGCTGGCCCTGCTGGGGCAGTCCTCTCTGTGGAGCAGCACCCTGGGCACAGGAGCTGGATTTGTGGCCAGGCTCCAAGATGAACTGTGCACAGAGAGAGAGAGAGAGAGAGACATCCCCAGGGCTGGTAAATCTGCAGGGACACAGGATGGGGGAGGCAGGGGAAGAGGGAGTCTGGAGCCAGGCAGTCTTTATCAGGCTCATGATTTGCCCATACAAGGAGGGAAGAAGAGAGCCCTGGTGCTCACGAGGACCAGCAACACTCAGTAAGCCTGCTGGCTCAGGCGTTTGGAGCTGCACACAGAGAGTCAAAAAAGGATGAAAACTAGCGCTTAGAGAACTCAAAATAGTTCAAGAGAAAGGAGACCTGACAGAGAAAGACATAAGATTCAGCAGGAGATGAATGGACCATCAGCCAGAAGGTAAATGTTTTCTTTATTTTTCTCAGCTCATGGAAGATAAATGGGGCCAGGGTCTCGCTCCTGCCCTGGGGAGTGTGTGACCTGAACAAGCACGTAAATAACAGGCTGGCAAGACAACTCACAACTGTTCAGGGAAATGTTCACTGCTGTGCTCAGAACAGATGCTCGGGCTAATTAACAAGATGCTGAGGACCAGGAGAGAGGAGGGGAGGCCTAAGATTGAGTGAAGCTGGGGGCTATGAGAGTGCACAGCACACCCAGAACCAGATTTCAGAGCCATTTTTCTCTGGGATGAACTCCAGTCACATTACTGCAGTGGGGACACAAAGCTGGGAGAAGACCACCCACAGAGATTTGGAATGCTGCAGGACAACAAAAAAGAAAAACTCTTCTGGCCCCTGGATCCTCAAAATAATTCATTAAACCTGTCACAGAAAACCACTTTTTACCTGCCGGGAGGGAGAATCACGTCAAAGGCCGATGCCAAGTATTTGTCTGCACTTTATACATGTGGGGAGAGAAGCCACCCGTGCTCTCACACACCAGCTCACCCCTCCTCTGGTCTGGTGGAAGGTGTCCCTGCCCATGGCAGCAGGGCTGGCACTAGGTGATATTTAAGGCCCCTTCCAACCCAAGCCATTCTGTGATGCTGTGAATGCTGTCAGCAAAGGCTCTGCCAGCAGCTGGGCAGCTCAGGAGAAACTCAAAGCACCTGCTAAGGGAGCAGCCTATGCTGCAGCCTTCATCAGTGATATAGAGAAAAACAGCAGGAGAGCATGAAGGAAAATGTTAAAAAGCACAGGAACAAGAGCTATTGGGCTAAAGGTGAACCAACAGCAACTGGAAGTGTTTACAGCAAAGCAAAGGTTGCTGTTAGCTCCACACAGATTCAGGAGTCAGAGGGCTGTGGATGACCTCAAAATGGTGAACACTCCTCAGAGCACACTACAGCCAGGGCTGGCCCACACAGACCCTCACAAGGAGCTGAGCCCTTGTGTTTGAATGAAGCTGCTGCTGGTTTGTAACTCTAAGGCTGATCCCAAGAGGAATGGCAAAGCCCATTTAGAAACACGGGCCAAGGTCAAGACTCCATCAGTCTGGATAACTGCCCTAGTTAATAGGTTTACTAGCACTATTTGAAACTCAGTATTAGGTTAGACAGTTAATGTTCCCTGCTGTTGTTATATTTGACTGGGAAAACGTACTGAATTAATTCTTTAATAGATTATGCCATTAGCTAGTGGGACTGGCTGCTTCATTGCACAGAGGCTGACCTTTTGGAGTGCTGCTTTATGAGACATTAGAAGAAGCAGCTCTAAATCAGGCTCCTTGGCTTTGACCAATTCCTGGACATATATTTGGGTATTGCCAATAACCCTGGAGTGGAAACAATTTCTGTCTGGAAAACTCATAAGCTACCTCCAAGAAAGCCATTGCTTCTCCCCTGAGAGGAGAGGGAAGAGGAAAATAAAATTGCAGAAATTTAGTACGAATGTGAATTAAAACCAGCAGGAACCATTTCGTTGCATCAACTAAATTTAGGATGCTCAAATCCAGCTCAGTGAGCTCTGTCTGTCAAGTGCTCAGAGAGAAGCTGGGATGCTGAGGTGAGGGGGATGTGTATAATGAGATTGGTGGGACAGACCTTCCCCATTCACTCACTTGCTTTTCCTGAAGCTAAAGCAGGGAGAAAAAGAGCTCCAAGGACCACTGTGACTTCTTCCAGCTTTTTAAACACAGCCCTGGTGCTTGTAAGAGCCCTCCCCTACCACACTGCCACACACCCAGAGGACTTTTCTTGCCTGACCTCTGATGAAACTGAGCCGTTCTGACCTGCCCTTGATTCAGCAACCAGCTCTCCAGCTGCATCACCACAGGCTGGATGTGCTGGCAAAGAGACATGCTCCTGAAGGGATCTGCCACAGGTGACAGTGCTGGCTCCACCCTGGGTGACAGCCAGCAGATGTGTTTCACACACACTGGAGCAATCCTGGAGAGCCCTTCCTTCCCATTGCCAAACATGCCTCTTCCTTAAGGGGAGAAATCACTATGACCCGGTTATCGAATTGTCTTTGCAATCTAAAGAGAAATGCTAAAAATAGCCAGAGGAATAAAGAGGGAGCATTTTTCAGCTGACTTGCAAATAGCAGCTGTCACAGCCAGCAGGGCCCTGGGGACAGGGGCTGCAGCAGGACCACCTCATGCTGCAAAGGGCTGCACACAGAGAAGATTAACAGGTGACACTCCTCAGCCTTTTGTCTAAAGGGCACAGATCCTCCCCTGAGCCAGGGCAGCACAGCCTTTGAACAGCAAAGAGAAATTAATTCTCTCTTCTCTGGCCCTTTGCTCTCACTAATCGTGATTCACGGGCTCTGCTTCGCCGCAGCGGAAGGAGGATGGGTTTAACGAAGTTAAAGATCGTGGGTTTGCTGGGGAATTGGTCCCAAGTTGAATGTGACTCGTTATTGACCTGAAGGCAGAGAGAGAGCACGGGGAGG